TTGAATCGATGAATGATGTCCTGATACCTCGTACAAGTTTAGCAGAATATCCGCAAACTCCTGATCACTCGTGATATCATTTTCCTCTTTCAGCCGTTTCCACCGCTCAATAGAGGTATTCAAACACACTTTGGATGCATTTCTTTTTGCGAAATATGCTTTTCGATCAGCTGGTTTGTTTTGGCCATCAGCGTTTGAAGGATTCTCTGTTGAAGTAGATGGCTCTAACTCTTGCGAGTCGGCCATTTTCAACTAGTGTCTCACATGAACGCGCGTATCCGAATAAGGACTGGGGAGCACACAAAATCAAAACAAGTGTGCTCACATTTGTTTACATTTTTGACACATGCGCAGAAGGGACTGTAATCTAGCTTTAAACTATTGACTATTGGGTAACCATAATTGAAGAATCTACAAATACATATTCAGTGGTGCTGTGGCAGGGAAGGGAGGGGTCATGCCTCCCCCCCCCTGATGTCGAGACCCCGTCGAAAAACTGGAAATTTAATTGTTATGTTCTCAGAATCGTCGTGGTCAAGCATACCTGCATACACGAGCGGGAATCTTACTTCTCTTCGTTGTTTCCTGGACAATGCCAAACAAGTTTGAATAAAACATATATAGATGAAATATTGGAGTCAATTTACGTTTTCCCAATATACATTGTTTAATTCAATATGACTTCATATATTATTTATGTCAGAAAAAATTGTGTTTGTCTGAAAAATGCTGCATTTTATTAAGGTAGCAGTTTATTACATTGTTACTGTAGTTACTGAGTTCAGGTGATTTATTATTTTAGTCTCTGACTCTCTGTAAAATCAACCTCGCCTTTACCACAGATTTTTCAGACAGTATAATACATGTTATGCCATTCAACAGACAAGCCGCTCTCCAAGAGCACAACATGCATCTTAATCACGTGTTGTGACTTGTCTGCCTTCAAACATCTAAGAGTTCTTATGCACCTTTACTGGCTCTTGTCTTAATATAAGTCATACGTAATACCACTGTCTTTTTAATTGCTGATCATTTCCTTTGGAGCAGAAAAGGGAAGGTTTAGCTGGTGAGTAGACATTGCTCTGCAAAAAAACATTATTTTAGTGGAATTATGGTCATTTGAATATTCATATACCACTTACAAAAAGTAAAATAGTGGTTAAAGGGTCTTGTAGATGGAGTTCATTGAGTGGGAATTTGGGTACATTTAAATTCAATAATTACAAGACCCTTCAACTACAGTATAAATGTATCAATAAAGTGAGATGCCAACAAAATCTTGATATTTACCCATAACCAGCAAATGGCGGCACCCTATAGCTATAGTATATTATATACACGAACTTGTGGTTAGAGCTTGACAACTGGTGTCTGTAGCTCAGTTGGTTAGAGCGTTGTACTGCCATTATCGGAATTTGAAGTAGGTTCGATTCCTGCCAGGGACCTGTATCAGATGCATTTTTGGCAACTGATCCTGGTTAGGTATAATAAATGTATAAAATTTTTAATAAATGTATAAAATTTCTACTCAATAAATTACATAGACTACAAGACCCTTCAACTACATAATTGTAGAGTAGAGTACATTGGTGCACAATGCAACTTGATAAATCAAATAAATTATTAAGAGGCAGTTAAATGTATTCAATTTTGGAAATCTGTCTTCAAATGTGATTCAATATGTAACCTAGCACAGTAGGCAGACATCTACACAACTTAACCACACATTGAAGATTGAACAAACAAGGAGAATTTGTGTCAGCCAATGTCTGGCAAATTGCCTTTGACTAATTTGATATCAGATAAGCATGATAAACAACATATACATAATTTTTAAGTTAGGCAAGGCTTGAGCAAACTAAGAGTTTGGCACCCACCCCAGCAGTTTCTCATTCCAAGGCCGGCGAGAGCCAACCACGGGCCCCGGGACAAAATGACGATGGTGAACACGGGCCCCCTGTCCCTCTCGACTCTCCCACTGGCTATTTTTAATCGCAATCAACGAGAGAATTGCCAGCGAATTACTTGCAAGAAATCGCCGCATAACTGATAAAAACGTAATGTGAATGATGTTCAGCTAACTGTTTTTGCTGAGAAATCGATCGAAAAATCGTTTATTTCACATTTGGTACGTTTCACGATCAATGACGATTGTGTGCAAGTAGGCGTATTTCATTTAGGACAAACATAAAGCGATGATAAACAATACGAACATTTTACCGAAATTTCCGGTTCGGGACCACACTATGAAGCTCCAGTGAGGGGAATTTGACCTATCCATCAACTCCCAGAGTCGGGAAATTTTGACATCCGCCATCTTGAAAGTTTGCGCGGTTTTGACATTGAAAGGCCTGGTAACAAGTATGGCGGAGAAGCAATATCAATTTTCATCGAAAAAGGTATTTTATACACAGTGTCTCAATTTTTACCAAGTTTAAACCAGTATATACTGTATGTTCGCACTGGAAAATATGTGTGCCTTGTTATCTTAGGAATATAGTGGGGAATTTTGACAGCCTTTCCTTGCCCAACAGTGGAGATTTTGAGGACAAAATTTTAAAAATGTCAAAATTTCCCGGGTTGCCCGCACCCCCCCCCCCCAAAAAAAACATTGATAGGTGCATAAATTTGGAAATATTTTTTTAGCGATCTTGTCTGGATCGGAGTTTGAAATACAACCGACCCCTGATGAGCGGTTTTAAAGTACCCGCGGCGAACGTGTCCGTTGTTATGAGAAAGAGAATTCCAGTCAATCCGTAATAAAGAATTCTTTTATCCATTGTTTTTTCTACATCCAATATTTATGTAACACTAGAGTACGAATTGACAGTTCCTTAGAGTAACAGTAATGGCCAATAATTGCGATAAATAATAAAACGATTATACCTTATTACCATAATAATCGAAATCCAGTTCGAACATGTAAAGTAGTTCAAATTCGATTGTTCATCTGCACGCTGCATCAAGTGTGTGCAAGTAGTACCTACGACAGTGTTTGCGCGATGTTTACTTCGCAAGTATTTTCAAGAAAGATCCGTACTTTGTAGAAAAAGCGAAATAAAACTTTGTCTTTGTACCTTTTAATTGTTTAATTATAAATTGGTTAGAGTATCTGTTTCTATTCTCCCCGTTTATTTGAATTAATGATTTGATGCTTCTCTGTTTCCTGATGATTCGCTTTCTTAAACGGGCACTATTGCATGACCGGCAACATAGCGAATTAGCCATTTCTCAAAGTCCTGGGGAATGTAAAACGGAGATATTTCATTTCTGGTCGTCTAAAAAGTTGATTTTGATTCTAGTAGATACTTCTGCTTCTTCACATATTTGACGCCTGTCACTATATATTTTGTCCCTCCAAACGATCCCAGAATGCAATGTGATCTCTTTTGTGAAAAGGCTAATTTCCTGTGCACCTCGGAAAATATGCTATGTTCTCACAACAGTGGGAGGAAAATGAGTATACAATTATTTTAACCACGAGAAAATGAAATTTGTTTGAGTTAGCGAGGATTCCGTGTTAAGTGATCGTATGCTGTACGGTCCAAGCGGGGTTCCACTGCATTATTGATGCGGAGCTCAAAACCAAGAGATATTTTTGTCGACACGAACGTCATATTAGCGAGTTTAAGCAAGCGACGTTTTTGTCAACGCGCGGACGCCACCCCAAAATTGATATAACTAATCTTGGCGGCAGTGTGCATCATAGCGTTCATGCGAGGAAACAAAAAAAATTAAGATATTATGTATTGTCACATGTGTTGAAGATAACCACAAACTCACAAAACACAGTTTTTAATCCCCCCTGGCAGTCTGACGTCCGTGTTAACAAAAGCATCGCTTGTTTAACTTCGCCATTGCCGAAGGGAGACTGGACTAAAAAATACGTTTGTGTCAGTTTGTGGTAATCCTCAACATATACGACAAATCATGCATAAGATTGTACGTGCGGACAAAAACGTCGTTTCCTTAAGCTCACCAATATTAACACCAAAATGTTTGTGAACACTAAATTTAAAGTTGTTTATGGAAATTTCAAAAAAGAATTAGATGGATTTTGTACATTGAAATTTCGAGTGTGAATTTTATACATATTTACACCTAAGAAGGAGCAGTTGTAAAAATAAAACTATAATTAGGCCTCTGGCAGGAATAGAACCTGTGACCCTGCGATTCCAGCTGTCAATTCCCGAGCTCTAAACGAAATTTTATGTAATCTATAGTACATTTAAACGAACGTGTAAATATCAGGATTTTGGGCATCTACACTCGAGAGTATCTAATTTATAAAGAGAGCGCTTCACCGCAGTACCGGAGGTTCGACCTCCGGCAGGAGGCTTATAGTTGCATTCTTCTCAAATGTACTCCATAACCATTGGACTTTTTAACCAAACATCCTAAAATGCACTGATTTCGAAACTATGAAGTGAAATCATGTTTGAAGTGAAACTAATGGCGGCCGTATTGTTAGAATATGAAAAGTTGTCCTCAGTTGCATGTCTTTTATCCTACATTTCATCTCAATCATTAATGAGTTTACACTTCATCGCTGCCTGAAGTCTCATTATTTAATGTTTAAAAAACGTTCTTCATTTAAAAGGTTATGTTCCCAAGGTTAATGGGTGACAATATCTCTAACATTATGCAATATTACAATATAATTAGCAAGCTGTTCTCTCTGTTAAAATATTAATTTATATTAGACGTAAGAATGTGTATATTTGTGAAACATGTGTTTCAATATCAAAATGCCGTATAGGTGACGCCAATATCTAAAATGCGTAACTCACTATTCTATCATCAGCCCTTATATCCGAGAGATTTAATTCCTTAAAACAGCCAAATGATGGGATAGCAATCAGAATATACATTTATAGCGTTAATTAAGACATAGGGTATGCTAAGTACTATTTACAACATGAGCGGCCGTGTTGCTCTGGACAATTATTGCTTATTAAAATCAGATTACTTGGCAAGTAATCGCATCGAAATTCATGAATTTACAATTTTGACCCGAACCAGTACTGTGTTGTTGACTCAGGCGAAGCAGCGCAGCCATGTTGAGGGACAGATAGCCCATACCAACCAAAGAGCCCGTCATCTACATACGGTAGTTCCAATGGTGAAGCACATACTGATTGACCATGGGTTGTGGAAATGCTGAATATTCTGTTGGCATCTTGGGTAATAAAAGTGTTCACTTGACTGTAGGTTGTGCTATAGATACTTATGATATCAAGAGCCCCACACTTATGTTCTGTTCAAAAAGAAAAAAAAATGTAAAGATGAGATCAAAATGAAACCTTGAAAAGCAGAAATACTTTGAGTTCACGTATACAATTAGGCATTAGGCAACAAAATTTATTGCAGTGTTGATAATATGCAGATAATTAAAGAAGAAACAAACATTCGAAAATGCTGCGTTCGTGGAAAATGTATTTATTATCCATGAAGCAACTTCTTGATATTTTAGTTTTATTGTAAAATTACCATGACGTACTCCGACGACCGGTATTCTCGTTTCGTCGAAAAGTACCCCAGAATATTAAGTCAGTACCCTTGTTCCTCTTAGTGTAAATTCAATTTGGATATCTCTTTATTAAAGTCGGTGAACGCCAAGGAATAATTATACCATTTTTCTTCAATGCGTAAGGTCGCAATGTGCATACGACAAACCATTATGGCTTATAATTATCTCAGACTTATAGTCATTAGACTCGTACCATTGTATGTCATAATATCCATGGTTGTGAAATAACTCTGTGTGAAATCGTCATCACGTGGTTTGGTGTCATGGTTACATGTAGCTCGCCAGAAGCTGCTCTGATTTCTTAAATATTTCATCAAAGCTAGTGATGAACGGTAGTGGTCAAACGCTGGATTTTCTTCATTGATTGGGTTATCCTTTTGAAACGGAAAGTTTTTCATGCTATTCTGATAGGAAAGTGAGTAGGACATGACAAGAGTCCATGCTTCCATATTCACGTGATCAAAATAACAGTAGGCATTTTTTGTCTTTGTTGGTTCGTCCAGCCAGACTTCGTAGACACCAGATGTCGCTGACTCGTTTGCTCGGAGGTAGTCTTGACAACCTTTGACTGGTGCGTCACATAACTTTCCAGTGAATCCAGGCGGACACTTACAAGAAAAACTCCGCCTGCCAGATCGTACCTCAGGCACGCAAAGTGCTTGATTTTTGCAAGGATTTTCAACACAACATACTTGGGCCTCATTTGCGTTCGTTGACTAAAACAAGCAAAAAATGGCTTAGAATTTACTTTAATAATAATTGTAATAAAATAATATATTTTTGATCATGCAATATTACATTTTAGTATAAATTTTGCATATCAAAGTGAGCTTTCGCGCGTTCCAATTGGCTAGTTCACTAGTATATCTGACGAATTATTTGCTAGCAGACTAGTAAATAATGCTTATAAAAAAGATCGAATCTGTAAATTTGGTTTCAAAATCGACAAAATTTTGAAAAACTCGTCCCAGAAAAAGGAAAAAAGCACAAAATGTTTTATTCAAATTGAAAGGTAGGATTTCTTTATTATTTTACTGTGTCAAACATATTCACGGACAATTTAAACTTATTTAAAACTCCGAAATATTCGCTTCAAACAAATAGCAAAAACTATCCCGACTAATGGGGAAAGCCGTGACATTCTTTTTAAAACAATTTTGTTTTGTAACCTATAAATATCTCAATTTGTACGATACTATTTCTTTTGATATATGTCGTGTTTCCATTGTGCTGTGCGGTGTCTTGATGCTGTATTGTATTATTGTGTTTTTGGGACTTGTAAAGTGAAAAGTGAATTAAAACTTTTATATTTCGAACGATATAGTTTTACATTTCATTTTACCAAATTTCTCAGCCATTTCCTGAACAAATTAATGTTAAACAGAAACTATTTTTTAATTCTAAGTCTGGCGAAAGAAAAACAACTTTGTAATAAAGCAATAAAGTCGCACAGGAAGCCATTTTCAAAGCGTGCGAAACACTACAACACAAAAACTGACAGTAACCGTAAACCGGTCGAAAACAGTATTGCTTCTGAATTTTAATTAAAATAATAGTTGGATAACTTGGATACTTTGGTTTATCCATTAAAAATTTATACTAAAACAATTATTCGCCTCAGGCTTAGTGATTACGGTGAATATTCACCTCGACTTCGTCTCGGTGAATATTCATCGGTAATCACTGAGCCTGAGGCGAATAATTGTTAAATAATTATAGTCCATCTGCCATAAAGTAATGTTTTGCTGCAACTGGCACTGCGTTTTTATATCTACTACTTAGCATTTGTATATGTTTTTAAATTAATCGTGAGAATTGACTTGTTAAGGGTACAGAGTCATTTTTGCCAACGATATTCATAATAATAAATTTTCGAGTGTTTAAAAAAAGGCTTTCAACGTGGCTTGCGGAAAAAATATGGAAGGCTTAAAACTGAGTTTGAATTCGTAGGATGCAAAGTTGTTATGAACTATCTAAGTACCAGACAGATTGATGTACATTAAGCACAACCTATTTGGACCTATAGTGCCATAGTAGCCCTTCGCACGTAATTTTTAAACTTTTTGTAGAGAGTTTGTAAGAAATCAATCATGTGTAGCGCTTTGTGCAATTATAGGAGGGGAGAGTGAGTCGTTGTTTGTACACATGCATCAAAGTAATCATGCATAAAATCAGTCATGATACTATCATTGCGTATATAAGTGAAAAAGACAGCATATAATTTTGTAGTTTTATTAATTACCCTTCCTTTTGTATATTAAAATATTTAAATAAAGAGGAAAGCAAACTTATTTTCATGCGAGAATTTGAAATCAGTTTATTTCAAACTCAATGTTTACCGACAATACGATAAAAGGCCGTATAGTTTTAAGAACATTTTAAAACGTTTTGCGAAGCGTTTGTGTTTGAATTTTACATTAAATTGAAGCTTATCTTACGTATAATAACATACCTAGCATATATATGTTTGGAAAATTGATCCATTTGTTATTAAAAGTGATATTTTGGGGGGATTTTTCAATTTTAAAACTATTCCTAAAATTATCGTATTACCATGACAACTACTTTCAATTCTTCATAATATTCATTTTGTCAGTAAGGGAGGGTTTTTGCATGCATGTATTTTCTAGTTTTAGACGAAAGGACTCAAGTTCTTATAGCGCTTTTAAATATTTGTAAAACCCAAGGGAGGACCAAAGTTAGCGCTCAGCGAAAATCTAAAAATCGCACCGGGTTGTCGAATCGCGTGTGGCATGACTCGACCTTTTCTGTAGTTATCGTTTCTCCTCGACGCGATAAAAGTCGTACTTTAAAATTACCTGCTCTTATCTTGACGGAATAATTGAATTTGATTTGTTTAACCATAGGCTTACCTGTGTTAATGATCTGAAGGAAACGAGTACAAATCCCTTCCTTGAACGTAAAGCGCGCGGTGCTTCTTCTTTATCCACGTCATTTAGCTCACAAATGCCATTGCCTTCAAGGCCCAAGTTAAATGATCTACAGTGACAGGTTCGGCCGCATTGTCGAAAGCATTCTCCAAAATCAGCGTTTGTAATTGTCTTCAGTACATGGCCAGTCATGGCGTGATCTTGCAAGCCAGTATCATGAATATGAGCGTTGTAACCTAAGCAAGTACCCGCGGCGAATATGTACTTTATTATGAGAAAGAAAATTCCAGTCAAGCTATAATAAAGACATCTTTTATCCATTTTATTTCCTACTTCAAGTACTTATGTAACACAGTAGTACTGACTCTGTCAGCTCTTTAGAGTGCACCGTAATGTCCGACAATTGTAATAAAAAAATTAAAATGATTATACCTTATTAATTACTAACCTTATTAAATCTAACTCGAACATGTTAATTGTTCAAATTGCGGTTGTTCACCTGCTACATCAACCATTTAATTTTTAATATTCTATTTAAAGTATGTTTAAATTAAACAGTACCTGCAATATAGTGTTTGCGCAATGTTTAATTACTTCACAAGTAAAGACTAAGATCCGTACTTTGCATAAACAGTAAACTAAGAGCACATTTCATAAGCGTGTTGCTCGGCTCAACTTTCTACCTTTTAATTAATGTTTAAGGTGGCTCCCTAGGATTTTTTTACTATACTATAGTATCCACGAGACTCCTGTTTCTCTCGGTTTACATGGCATGAAGACATAATTTATTATACACATTGACAATGCACTCTGAACATTGCAATTTGCTACTTTTGTACTGAAAGTTTGTTATTTTAATAATAGTAACAAAATTTCTGTAGAGCATATACATTACCGTTACCATGGCAACACCATGCGTAGAATCAAGGACGGATCTATGGGTTGCCAAATAAGTCACGCGAGTAACGTAAAAATTGCGCAGATAATTAATATTCATAAAATTGTCCAGGACTTCAGTTCTAATCCTTCCTGCAGTGACGGCAAATGTAATTAATATTCACAATAGTCCAGTTAGCAAGCTTCATTCTGCGGCTGAGAGCTCAGTGGCATTGACTTACTTGTTGCAGATTCTAGCCATTTGATTGGTCGAGAATGATGTATCTGATTGGCTGATTGAAGGGGAATTCTCTCTCTCATTGGTTCAACATTTTTATCTCATCTTCGTGGGGGTCTGCCTTATTTGCGCAATATTTGAAGTTCTGATTGGTCGAAAAAGACCATATTCTGTTCTCTCATTGGCTTATATTTTTGCCTCATCCGTCTCGTTCGGAAACTGTTATTCACCGCGAAGATTAAATTGACATACGAATACGACGCGGCAATATAAAATGAAATTAAATTAGAATAAATCTCAAAATTTGTTTTTTTCAGGCCATTTTAAAATTCCCTTCGGTCAATATTTTTGAAACTTGTATATGTAATCGCATGGGACCGAGTAAAATTGAGATTCAATTTCACGCGTGTTTTCAAAGTTTCACAAATTGCCCGAGTCGTGAAGGAGGGCAATTTGTTAGCCTGAAAGGAAAGGGCAAAACGTAGGTCTGATGAAAATGTTGTCAAAACGCTGTGGAATCCTCTTTGGCTAATTCACAGGGAAATGGGTTGTGATTGGTTCGTCGCTAACACGAAAAGATTTGAAAAGATCAGAATATATTTCAACGGTATTATCAACGCACATAATTAACAATTATGCCATGAGCTCGAGTCGTATATATATGAGCTGTTGTTTCGGTATTAATTCTTTAAAAAATTTGTCTTTAAACTAATTTCTATGTAATGAATGTATTTCACTAACCTGTCAAAGTTTTTTGAGAGTTTTTCATTGCACTATTATCTTTCTCAAAGCGAATATTTTCCTTTCTTCTGCTTCGCAAAACTCATGTAGTTTTTGGACCGCCATCTTGTTTTTCGCTACTCACCGTATATGAGCTGATATACGGCGAGTAATTCAACCAATCAGATTGCCGGACAGCTCATATACGGTGAATGACTATATTATAATATGCATATATATAGTGTAATATTCTAAATATTCTGTGAAGCCGAACAACAACTTGTGTAACAATATCTACCGTCTAAAATTAAAACTAGAGGGGAGTAGAGCAGTACGTGTCAAATACTTCAGCGTTGTGTGTTTCCGTTGTAATAAAAAATACAATAATTTTTACACTATCTACGTTTTGTGATAATCATAATAAAACTTATACAATGATACAAATATGTGTCAGCGCAATAGTGCGTTCATGATTTACATTTCGATAACATACCACGTACAAACTAGGTTACCCACAGGGCAGTAATGCTGCCTTTGACAGCAAAAGACAAACTACAGGGTGTTGAACGAGTCCTTCAGAAACATCCTATTATTGTTATCCTTGTTAACCCATTTATTGACAGCACCCTACCACTGACTGAGTATTAAAAATCGTCTGGCGTTGGACAGGGTAAATACTAAAGTCATTACTGTGCTGATGGATTAACAAGAAACATTGGCAGATAGGTTTGTTAACCCATTTACTGGCATTACCCTATACCACTGACCAGTAAAATCTTCTGGCGCTGGACAAGGGAAGGGCGCATTGCCAGCTAATGGGTTAAACCACCGTGGTTAAACATAAGATTTTATGCTCCAGGAAATGTAAACAAGCTATCAGTGTAACATCCCAGTTTATATATTTATATACTCGGAATATTGATTTCTCGGCATATACAAATTTATTTTAAAGTATAACAACCAGCGAAGAAGTAAGACACTAACTACCTTGCGCGGCTGCGTGCAGATTATATAATGACATATATATGTCATCCGTCTGGTCCGTCCGTCATTCATCCGTCCATCCGTATCCGCGTTTTATCCTACCCGTTTTTAAAACACAAAGTTTGCATAATTAAGGCAGTGCGGTTCGTCATGATCAACATTTTCAAAAGCGGCCAATTAGACCAGGGGTTAAAGGTCAATGACAATGACATGCAAGTGACATTTAACATTGCGTCTCAGTAATTAAAGTTTGCGTGTTTAATAATGTTTATCAAAGAATGCAAAAATATATACAAGACAATCTCACATGTGGAATTTGTTCACTT